TCATGAGATGACAATAGAATAAAAAGTAATAATATTTCAACAAAGATATTTTAAAGTTTGTGATGAAATAAAAAACAAAATAAAAAAAGCTAAAAATAGAGAAGAACAAAAAAAATAACTCAAAATACATTTTGTTAGAAAATGCATCAAACATACTCTATCAATTTTAAAAAGATATTTCAAAAAGAAATTAAAACAATCCCTAAAAAAGAAATCAAAAGAATTAATAACAAACAATATTCTAAACATCTTATTACTGATACTTTATCAATTAAATCAAGAGATCAACACTTTGCAATGGCTTCAATATCTACTTACCCAATTATTAATGGAGTAAAACAAGGAGAGCCTAATTGTGATAAGGCTGGAATTGTTAGATTTAGTAATGCAACATTCATTGCTTTAGCAGATGGTTGTGGATGGGGAGATAAACCTTCATTTGCAGCTAAATTAGCAGTAACAAGTTCATTAGAATTTGTTATATCAAATATAACAACAGTCAGCACTTTAAGAGAAATTGCTTCTTTGTTAGTCGAAACAATAGCAAATGCACATCAAATTGTTTGTTCTATTTTTATTCAAACTCTCAATATTTCAAAGACTTGAAAGAAATTCATTTATAGATCTGTTCGTCATATCCTAATAATAACGCACAAACAACCCTTCTTGTAGCATTATCTTGTACTTTAATAGATGAACAACAAGTCACTGTTGTTTTGTCTGTTGGTGATTGTAGACTGTTTCATTACTCTTTAAGAGAGTGTAAAGTAAAAAAAATAATAGGAACTGGTCATCATTCAATTGATGAAACTAAAGAATGTATTGCGGCTTTAGGAAATAATCAACTAGGAATAGACATTATTAATGGAAGTCAATTAGCAGTTTGTGAGTGTGAAGAGGGTGATTTAATATTTGCCCTTACTGATGGTATGTATGATAACTTTGACCCTACTATAATTAAAGAGAAAAAACCTTATGATCAATTAATGAATGAAATTCTTGGAATAAGAATTAAACGAAGTGCAAATTTAAATTCATTAGTTGAAGAATTATGTAGTTATACTATTGGAATAACTCAAACAGTACGTGAATTTCATCAAAATAATCCAACAAAAAGAAGACGAGATGGTTTACCAGGTAAATTAGACCATTCAACTATTATAGTATATTCAATTAATACACAAAACCTTGACATTGGATTAATTGATAAATATTCACCTGAATTATTTAAAACTTTAAAACCATTAGAAACCAAAAAACCTTTAGTTCATTCAATTAGTTTTGATGAACAAAATTCTCCATTAATGCCTTTCCATTCTGACTCTGTGAGGACTATTAAAAATTCATCTAAAATATCAATACATTCTGTTAGATTAAGTACTTTCTCTCCTCCAAGAACTGCATTAAATGATCATTATACTCCATGCTTAACACCTAGAATTTATAGAGACGTTGTATGAATTTTCTTTATTTTTTATTTTGTAATTTATGACTTCATTTTCTATTTTTGTTTTTTATTTTCTCATTTTCTTTTTGGCAACTACAAAATAGAACTTTTGTTAGTGTTTGTGGGTTTAAAATTACCTCGAAACCACTCGAAATCTCATTAAACAACTATTTTTATTTTATGAATTGTTTTCGACCTGTCAAAGTCCTAGTTAAAGGAAATCTCGTCATAGAAGTTGTTGATGAATCTGAATTAAACCATATCCCCACTCAAACTGAAACACCTAAAAAATTTAGTAAAGAGCTAAAAGAATTAAAAGACGATAATTACAAAGGGACTATAGAAACTAAACCAAAGAAAGTAAGTCTTGAAGAAAAAACAGACAAAAAATTCATTGAAGATGAAAAGAAATTTCCTAAAGTCCGAGTTACATTAGAAGCATTTGAAGAGTTACAAGACTTTAGAAAAAAATATAAGTGTAAGTCTTATTGTGAGGTAGTTAATAGACTATTAAATATTTATGACTCTGTACAAAAACAGAATGATATAAATGATTAAAAATGTAACTTAATGATGTTTTTCTTCTTTATAAAGTTATTTCTTTACAAATAATATTGTGAAGAGAATCACAATATCCACAAATATGATATATTCCCTTTGAACAATAAATAGAGCAAATCCCATCTACTAACATTGCACCAGAAATGAATTGGTTGTTAATTAAATTATTAACTTCATGAATAAGAACAAACTTTACTTGTGGATTAGAACAAAAAATAATAAGTTCTATTTCATTGTTTTTTTTCAATCTTTGATGAACAAAAATTTGATTTGGTGTAGAAATAGTTCTATTAATTCGTTCTATGATATGAAGTGATTTTAAATAACACGTGATTTTATAAAATGAGTCATATTGTTGTTCTAATATGTTTTTCTTTTTTAAGTTATCTTTTGTAATACTTGCTTTTTCTCTCTGTTGATATTCTTCAATAATTTTGTCTTTTTCTTTTAATTGATTGATCAAAAATAATTTACTCTGGTCTAAATTTATTAATTTTGTTAGTCTTAATATTTCTTGGTCTTTTAGGCTTATTGCTGTTTCAAATTGACTTTTTTCATCAGACATACTAATTAACTCTTCGTTTAGACGTTTTGTTTCTTCTTGAAAAAACTTAATCTTTTGAGAGTTTTCTTGTTCTTGTTTCATTAATACAACATAAGCATCACTAATCTTTTCATACTCTCCAATCACATGATTTTTTTCAACTTCAAGATCATGACTTTCTTTACATTTTTCAAGTAATCTTTTTCTAATGACTTGAATAAAACTAGAATTCTGGGATTGTCTTTTTTCATTAAATAAATGTTCCATAGCTCTAAGTTTGATAAGAAGCTCTTCATTCTGAAATAACAACTCATTGATTCTATTCTTCAGAATTATTATTTCATTACTAGGATTCTCAGTAAACATAATATTTTCTTTTTGGTCATCACTTTGAAAAGAAGCTAAGTTTTCTGTATCCAAAAGGAGTAATTTTTCATAACTGTTAATGTCTTGTTTAATTTCTTTTGTTTCCGTCATTGTGAGAATGACGCTTTTAAAGTTCTAAAAGAAAAAATAACAAAATTCAAAAAACCATAAATTGTATTATTCTAATTTCCGCTCTAATCGTTGTAATTTCTCAACAACAATATCTCCCTCTTTGACTAAATTCACATAAAGTTCATTTCTTTTGTCTTTATGTGCATTCATCACGATACCATTTACTTTATCTATTTGAGCAGCAAGACGTCCTTGTGAAATGAATGTCTCAAGCTCTTCTTCAATAAAGTCAGTAGTAACTCCAAATTCTTTAGCAAAAACATCTAAACGAACGGCTAAATATGATCTCATGATTTGTTTGTATGCTTTAATTCTCATTTCTTTACAAAACCAATCAACAGACTTTTTTAGAATATTGTCTTGCATCATTAGAACAACAACTTCTTTTAATTCTTTAATAAATGTAGTATAATCACTTTTATATAAGGCATTTCCCATATTAAGTAAACATTTAAATTCTCCTGATGCTCCAATAACATCTGAATTATCTAAAATTTCTTTTTTCATTCTGCCTCTTTCAAAAATTAAAATTCCAGTAACACCTGCAATAAACACAAACCTTTCAAATGTCATTAAAGTATTAACTGCAAATGTACCAATTGATCCTACTAATAGTTCTGAGGCTTTTGCATAATCTCGATTAAATGTAACAAGATATAATCCTTCATAAACTCTTCTTTTATTTCTTCTATCCCAATCTCCACCTTTTTCAATAAGTATATTAGTTTCTTGAAGTAAACGTTCTGTTTCTTCTTTATTTTGCTCATTAAATGCTTTTTCTAATTCAACAAATAGTTTGTCAATTTTAGTTCCAATGGATAACTTTGTTTCATCTTCTTCATTAACTTCTGGTTTTGTGGTGTTTTCTACTTCCATCTCTTTCTCTTTCTTTGAAGTTTTTAATTTTAATTTTTCTTTTTTAGATTATTTTGTTATAAATAACATAAAATAATAAAAATAACTGATATTTTTAAATTACGAATAGTATAATTATGTAATAAAAAAAAGAAAAATGAAATGAAATAACAAAAACCTCAATAATTGGAAATTCTATTTGAATGAGTATTGATAATGATGATACAAAAAAACCAATCAATGAAGAAGATATATTTAATACAATCACCTCATCATACCAACCTGCTTTAACAAGTACTAAAGTTGATCCAAGAAAAAGTCTTGATACTTTTGCTGATGAAAAACAAGCAACTCAGTTACCTTTGATTAAAGAGTTAAACAAAGCACTTCATACTACCACCAGTAAAAATGTTGAACATCTTATTTATGATAAAACATTACCATCATTGGTACAAAGTTTTCCATATCAACCACCATACCAACCTCAAATAGAAATGATGAATTCAATCCAACAAGCAGTAAAAGAAGGAAAACATTTATTAATGGAAAGTCCAACAGGAACAGGAAAAACATTAGTGTTATTGCATTCAACATTAACTTTTCCAGATATGAGAGTTGTTTATGCTTCAAGAACCCATAATCAATTAGCTCAAGTTGTGAATGAAACAAAGAAAATTGGAAATATAAAAGGAATTGTATTAGCTTCTAGAGACTTGTACTGTATTTATAATCCAATTAAAACATGTGATGATAAGAATTATTGGTGCACAGCAAAACCGAATCTATTATTAAAATTAAAACATATTAACCCATGTCCTTATAGGCCATTTGGAGATGATGGAAAAGTATTACCTCATGTTGTTATGGCATGTCAAGCAGTTTATAAAGAATTAAATGGAATTATTAAACCACAAGAAGAACTTGTCAAAGTATGTCAGAAGCATAACTTATGCCCTTATTATTATGCAAGATGGGCAACAGTAAGAAGTAAATTAATACTATGTCCATATAATTTTGTTACTAGTGTTAGTATTCGTCATTCATCTGATATTTTTCTTATTGACCAGAATAGTGCTCATCAACGTGAGTTTGTTTTAGTTATGGATGAAGCACATAATGTAGAAGATGCATTTATGGATTCGTTAACATTTAACTTTACTGAATCGTTATTGAATCAAACTATTGAAACAATTAAATTTCATAAAAAGAGAGTCAAACAAATTCCAGAAAATTTTCTTACGATTTCTCTTCTCACAGAACTTATTTCCACTATAGAAAGTTTTTCTATTTGGATGAAAAATAGATCGTTGCCATATAAAGATTCTGAACACTATCTGTATGGGGTATTTGAAGACCAAGCATTTTTACCTTTTGTTGAACGATCACCACCTTCTTCAAGACTCCTAGAAGCAATTTCTGAGTATATCAAAGTAGTAGATGACTTAGATGATTTAGATATTTTTACACGAGAGCCTCATGCAATAAGATATATTAATTCTTTTACTACTCAATACATAGAAATGATTCTTTTTTATATCCAAGTATTTAGAACACCTACATTGACTAAATTTTTTAAAATTGTTGTAACTGACCATAATGGTTTAAGAGAAATGTTGTTTAGATGTCTTTCTCCATCTTTGCCAATGTCGTTGTTACAAATGGTGGTTAGATCAGTTATCTTTGCTTCAGGAACATTAAGCCCAATGAAAGCTATGGCACAAGAATTAGACATAAAAGAGCATGTATATAAAGACTTCATTATTTCTCCTGGTTATCGGATGCTTTCAACAGAACACGTAGTGCCTCCAAGTCGTGTGTTTGGAAGAATAATTATTTCAAGTTCACTTGGAAAGTCGTTTATTTTTACTAAAAAAACGAGTCAAGACAATGAAATGATAGAACAAGCTGGAGATACAATGTTCAGAGTTTTAAGTAAAAGCCGTGGGGGTGCATTAGTTTTTTTTTCTAGTTATAATATGTTAAATCGAATAGTAGAATTATGGAAACAACATGGAATATATACACAACTAAATAAACTTAAAGCAATTTTTATTGAGTCAAAAGATAAAAATGAATTTAAAAAGGATTTCAAAGAATACCAAATACAATCAAAAAAAGGTGCTGTATTTTTAGGTGTGTTTAGAGGAAAATTAAGTGAAGGAATTGATTTTGGAGATGATATGGCAAGGCTTGTTATTGTTGTTGGTATTCCTTATCCATCGTTAGGAGATATTAATGTTAATTTAAAGAGAGAATATAATAATCATGAAAACCTTAAAAATTCTGATTGTCTTAGTGGAAGTGAATGGTATTCAATTCAAGCATTAAGGGCAGTTAATCAAGCTGTAGGTAGAGTAATTAGACATATTAATGATTATGGAGCATTTTTATTATTTGATAAACGATATTCAACAAATTCAGTGAAAGAAATGTTATCTGGGTGGATGAAAAAATCACTTGTAGTTGCAGACAAAAACTGGGAGCAAGATTTACAGGATTTTTTTGCTCAATTTAGTCAATTCCCAATCATTAAACATGAACCTCAACAAGTACAAGACATTAAAAAAGAATCAGTTATAAAATGTAGAACTAAAAGTGAAGAATTAAATAAAGAGAACCAAGTAGTTGAAAGTAAAATGTCAAGTGGTAAATTTATTCATATCCCTACTAGAAAAGCTTCTCGTAATATGAGTCAACAATATTCAATTCCTCAATTTAGAACTACTGCACCAACTCAAACTAATAATAACTCGACTAAAGATGTGTTTGCTAGTCAAATGATTCTTCAAAATAAGCCTGATGCTGTTATTGTAAGAACATTTAGTATTAAAACAAACTCAAAACTTATTGGAGATAATCATATTGTTGATGCTATTCCTCCTCAACGCATGAGTTTAGAGCCAATAGAAAGTCAACCAAATTATAAAAGAATTTTGGATATTCCTCAAGACTTAGACCCTGTTGATGCAATGGTAATGACACCTGCATTTACTAAAAAACAAGAACACCAACCTCATCAAGAAATCACTGAACAACCTCCTAATGAAATTCAGTTGAGAAGAATGTCAATAGAAACTGAGAGTCTTTTGCACTCGTTAAATCTTAATGAAGAAGATAGTCAGTCTTTTGTTAAAAGAACTAACACTCCACCATTATGTTATAAAAGAAGAATGTCAGAAATAATTTCTGTTGATGAAGAGCAACCAAAACAAGTTATAACAATTACATCCAGTGAATCAAGTATTCAATTCTTTGATCCAAATGATGAGCCTGAAATTGTTGAAATTAAGAAAGAATCTTCTGACTAATTATTTGTGTTATATATTACATTATATTTTTATAAAACAAATAAAAGAAAAAAATCATTTTTTTGAGAAAATCAAAAATATAACATTATGTTACTAAATTTAACGATAAAACTTATAAAACTTAAAATTCAATTAATAATGGAAATACCTGAACGAGCTATTGAATATATGAAAGAAGCAATTAATTCTATTGATGTCGTTTTACTGAGAGAGTTATGTAGGGAATTTGGAATACCAGAAACATTGAGATTAGAAATATGGAAAGTTTGCCATTATACAATTATTAAAAAAAAAACAAAAAGAAGTTACACAGTAGTTATTCCTTCAGCCAAAGAAAGAAATTGTTGAAGAAAAAATAACTAGCAATTATGTTTCAAAATGGATTGTTGAGGATAATGAGATATTAATTGAAGAAACAAATAAAATTGCTAGTGCAATTCATCCAATTGGAACACAACCTTTCTTTAATTGTATTGTTGATGTTGCTGCTGTTGTTAGTAAGATATTTCAACAAGAAAGTATTGAAATGAGATGTGGGATAACAAAGTCAATAATATATAAGTTTCATCCATTTTATAAACATCTTTATCCTACTATTATTACAGGTCTACAAAATTTGATTCATATATTATTATTGTATCATGATCCTATTCTTTCAATTCATCTTGACACTAATAGAATAGAACCTACTGAATATACTAATGCCTTTGCATTTAATTTATGTATAAATATGTGTGATTCAATTGATATAATATCAAAAATGTGGGATGAATTCATTACATTTCCTGATACTACATTATATATTTATTGTGTTGTTGGCTACTTAATTTATTTAAGGAAAAGGATTTTAGATGCTAAAGACCACCAAGGTGTATTAAATGTTATTAATCAACCATTAAAAATTAATGACATAAAAACTATTATTGCATATTCTAAAGCGATTCGTCTTTCAACAGCATCATCATTTAATCGTATTCTTCTTGGCATAATGAATAATAGTGAGTCATATCAAAAAATCTTTTCTAAATCATTAACATCATCATTATTCTTAACTCCATTGGTTAATGACATCATTAATGATAAATTTAATCGACAATTTCCTTATTTATTTATTGATTGTAGAAGACAAGAATCTTTTGACCTTGGTACTATTGCAGCTGCAATTAATTTAGATTATAGTAAAAGACAAGATGATCGTAGTTATCTTGAAAACCTTTTCAAAAATGAATTGTCTATTCTGACTCAATCAAATTCAACGTTTCATGTTGTTTTATTTGGAGATGATGATACTGTAGATGGGAATCCTGACATTGGTGAGTTAAGTATGATTGGTTTAGATTTTGCTAAAAGAGGAGTTAAGAGAGTGAGTATCATGCAAGAAGGATTTTTAAAATATCACAAAAATGCATTAGCTAATATGAAAGGATTCCAATTGATGAATCACGAAACAGAAACATGTCCTTTATGTACTACAGGAAAACCATTAAATTTTGGATTATTAGAAGGTACTAAAAAATTAAAACAAAGTATTACACAAAGTACTGTAGAAAAAACACAACAACTAACACATGGATTAATCGGATTTTTATATGGAAATAATACAAAGAAGGAAGATCAACAACCAACTTCTCAAAATCAAAATACAACAAATGAAGAAATAAAACAAACACCACCAACACAAGTTGAGGATAAAGAACAATTAACTTCAAAGAATGAAGAAGTAAATGAAAATATGAAAGATGAAAATAATATTAATACTGAAGAAAATATTGATGATAATAGTGAAGAAGAAGACGATAACTATTTAAAAGAACTTATAGAAGAATCATCAAAATATAATTCTTATTTAAATATAGGAGGAAAACAAACGATTTGGAAGCCTGTAACTATAGTATTAACTACAATTTCTATTTTAATTGTTGAAATTCATAACAATAAAATTACACTCCTTGATGATATTAGTTATGAAACTATCTCTAAAGTTGTTATGAAAAAGGCTGATCCTGAACGATTTACTATTGTTCATTCAGGAGGAAAATGTACTATTCGTATTCCAGAGTATTATCAAAAATTTATTGAAGAAATATCAAAATTACAAGGATAAACATTAAAAAAAAAATTATTAAACTAATTCTTCTAATTTAAAGTATTTCAATTAAATAACTTCTTCTGTTTTTTTTTTATTGATTATGCAAACACAATCAATTTTGATCCAATGAAGTTTATAATTGTAACAGTACCAATGACAACAAAGAGAAGCATTTGAATGTATGGGAATTCATCTGGAACATAGGTTCTTCCAAGTTTAAATAACAAACTTCGAATAATAAATGCAACACATGAAACAACTCCAAACTTTATGAATTGTTTCTTTTTTTGGTTTGCATCTACTTGTTGTGGGAATGTCCAAAGTGAATTTAAGAAGAAATTATTACACAACGCAGCAATAAATGAAAGGGTTTGTGCAAATCCACCAGGAAGTCCAATACTAACAAGAAGAGTGAATATAAGAATATCAATAATAGTTCCTAATCCTCCAACAACAATAAACTTAAGAAGTGGACATGTTCCTGGATAACAAAACAATGAAAACAAATGAAGAAGATAATTAGTCATAACTCCTCCAGTTAATTTGGACTCTCCATGTACACGAGTAGTAAAGATAATTGGTACTTCAACTACATTCTTTGCACCTGTTTTAACAAGAACTTCAAGGAGAATTTTATATCCTTTTGCCTCTAGTTTACTTCTTTTAAGTATTGATGATTTAACTGCAAAGAAACCACTCATTGGATCTGACACGGATGTAAATGGTCGTGCAAGAAGAGCTGCACCCCATGAAATTACTCTTCTATGAAAAGCCCAATTTTCAATTCCACCTCCTGGACAATGTCTTGATCCAACAGCTACTTCTGCACCATTCTTTATTGCTTCATATAATTTTGGTACAACAGAAACTGGGTGTTGAAGGTCTGCATCCATTACCAACACAACATTTCCTTTAGCAATTCCAAATCCTTCAATAACTGCTGGAGACAATCCACGATTTTCAGTACGAATAACAACATTACATTTATGTCCTTCAGATTTAAGTCTTTGGACTTTTTCTCCAGTTTTATCTGGGGAATTATCATCCATAACTAAAATATCGAAATTAATATCTTTCAAAGTATCTTCAAGTTGTATAATGAGTTGTTCAATATTTTCAGCTTCATTGTATGTTGGGACAATAATGGTAAGATCAGTCATAAAAAGATAAGTAAATGTTAATAAGTTCTAATCTTCTTTTTATTTCTTTTTTTCGAAGTTTCAATTCATATTTCTTATTTTTAAATAACAAAATAATAAATTTTATTTCTATTTGTATTAGTTGTATAATTTTTAATTTGAAATTATTTTTATTATTTTATGACATATGGAAGTAAGAATATAAGCAGTACTGATAGTAATGGTAATATACAGTGTTTTTTATTGTATTATTGTTTAAACAAAAAATAAATCATTATAAAATTATATAACTAAATAAATATCATAGTTATTGAATAATTTTAGAAATGAGAATAAATTAAATAAGCATTTTATTCATTTTATGAATTATTTTTCTTTTCATTTGATTTTATTATCTTATTGTTTTACTTTTTTTATTTACAAATACTATTTTATTCAATACATTTCAGTTTTGTGATAGTTGGATATGATTTATTGTTTCTGCTAAAATAATTTAGTATAATATTTGATATTTGTTTATATTTCTAGAAGTAGTTCTAATAAATTCATTATTTCTTTTGTAACTTGTTTATCAGTTGAAAAAAATATTGCTTTTATTACAACTATTTGACTATGCCAAATAAATTATTTGTTTTGGATTATATCCAATCATAATTAAATAGCTGACATAGATATTCATAAGTTAGCTGATGACAAAATAATTTAACATCTAGAATGTTTTATATTATCAATAATATTAGTACACTTTATGTTATTATTTAGTATTAGTTGAAAATAACACTATACCAGAAGAAATAAGAAATAGTACATAAGTAATTAATAATAAATAATATAAATGTCTATGAACAGAAATAGTAAATAAAGTAAGTAAAGAAAAATAAATGAAATGAGAAATAAATTACAGAAATAATTCGTAATAAAACAAGAGGCAATCATAGTAATAAATGATACAAATGACTGTCATTGGTATTATACAAATGACAGATATTATTTCTGTATAGTGGATGGACATTAGATGAAATATAATAAATGGAAATAGAAATAAGAAAAGCATTTTAATTCAAATCCTTATATTTTAAACTATTAACAAGAT